CTGACATCCCTCCCCCAGCATCCCCCCACCACGCCACCCGCCCGACCTCCCAAGTTCATTTTTTTTATTGCAGATTTGGGGTCCTTCAGGGTAGCGCAGCACAACCCCACCTTCAAAAAATATATATAAAAATTCCTTGCTATGCTTTTGCGTCGCCCGGTTCAGCGAGGCGGACCCTCCCATGCCCAACCGGTCGGGGTCCGCCCGACCTAGGTTTGTAGTGCAATGTTATCCACATTGTTTTTTTTTTTTTTTAATTTATAAATAAAATTTGTAAAAATATAAAAACAATGTAAGCGCGTAATATTTGACTGTACATTATATTAAAAAATCATTAGCGATTTATGATAATTTGTTTTTCATAGGTAAGTTGAATGGAATGTACGTACAATTTATTTAGATTAAGAAAATAGTAGAGCAAAAAAAAAAAAACAAATAGGCAGTTTATGTTTTTATCGAGTCAAATAATTCATGGTTTTTAGCCACTTATATGACTATGAACCAATAAGTAAGGTCGACTAAGGAATATATTTTTTACCACCTACATAATTTTGTTGAAATGTCAGGAAGACACATTGGGAACTAAAAAAAAAAAAAAAAACAGGGTAATATCAACGAGATTCTAAGTATGAAGAAGCAAATCAGTCGAGCTTATACTTGAGTAAGATTATGCATTTTTTTTTGTAACGTGTACTTATAACTAAAAATAAATAAGACTTACAGTACTTATCTTTTCGAAAAACTATATTTATTAAAAAATAATTATAATTGATTATTATTACAGCACGTTGATTGTGAATGTCGTGACCATGATTTTGCGAACAACTTAAAGTTATTATTATCATTTTTCAATTAGTTGTTACCCACGGATCAATGTACGATTGCTGCTTACTACTACTATTGTCTGTCCATTGAGATGTTACTCTTACTATATATGCTTTGATATGTTATAATCATATATATTAATTTACCATTGCAGATTGTTGATGCAATATAGTGCACATGTTGTCGTTAGTGTGGTTTGTTGATTGTTATTGATTGTTATTTTTTATAGTTCATACTATTTACACTAATTCTTGTAGTTACGGACATTTATATCAACGTATTAACGGTACAGTTGTTTAGCGGTATGAAACAGTGTCAAGGAACATTAATGCAATTAAATAATGTTGGAAGTATGTTGAGTAAATTAACAATGTTCGATAAATGATTTGGACATTTTTGAAGGCATTTTGACATGAGCACCATTGAAAACGAAATGACCAAGTAACGACAATTATTATAACATTGCTAATGATACAACGGATTAGTAAACGATTGTTGCGTATCACCACTATTTTCTATATATTGAGATGTTACTCCTACTATGTATGCTTTCGTGTGCTATAATTAAATATATCTACTTACCACTGCGGATTGTTGATACAATATAGGGCTTATGTCGTCGTTAGTGTGAGTAGTTCATTGTTTTTTTTTTATGTGCTTACTATTTATACTAGATCTTGTAGTTACATACATTTATTACAACATATTAAAACAACATTTGTTTAGAGCTCTGAAACAGTGTCAAGAAACGTGGATGCAATTAGATAATGTTTGAAGTATCTTGAGCAAATTAAAATATTTCAATCAACGAATTTAACATATTTGAAAGACATTTCAACGTGAGCAACATTGAAGGCGAATTGAGAAGTTATCGACAATTATTATGTAATTGTTAATAATATTGTTATTTTATTGTTTATTATTATTGTTGTTTCAAATGCTTCATTTACAATATTTTAGTAAAAAGATGTCAATATCTCATTGTTTTACGTACTGCTGTTGTGACAGTTTGTTTTGATCATAATGCTATGTTTGATTCAAAGAATGTCATTACCGTAAACAATATCACTGTGGTACTTAAACTTATGTTTTGTTGGAGACTCTCTTACTATAGTCTGCTAAGATACTAGTATTGCGGCCATAAGTTTCCAATTGGTCATCGTTGTCACTTCAAGTATAAATTGCTGTTATTCCTGTAAGGTGGTTACCACAATCATGAATTTTGCTCGAAGTTGGGTGTTTAGTGCGACAAGTCACTGTCGCGGGCTGACAATCACAATAATATGAGTTGTTGTTGCAGTTAAGGTCGTCCTCGTGACATTCGTCTGATGTTGTTATTTGGTGGTTGAATATGACATTCATTGAGGGGTGTATAGTTTATCGAGGTATAAGGGTAAGGTGTGATAATGAAAACTTAAACTATTTGACCCTTGTAGTTGCTATACACGTCGAAAATTTTATCGATAATATTAGAGAAACTTCTTTAATATTTTAGAGGTTTTAATAATTTCAAGTATTTTTTTATCATTTTTACTATCTGTGAGGTTTTTTAAGGGAAAGACAACTCACATAATCCCACTTCATCTAAATTTTGTGATTAATTTCATATCAGAACTTCATATTGTTCATGAACTGAACGATCGAACAAATTTTAGCTAAGTAAGTTCTTAGTCAAGTACTTGAGAGAATAAGTTTAAAGAATAAGTTTGACTGATCCTCATTCTCATATATTATCACATGGGTGACTTCTCTACTGATTATGAGAATAAGTTTGAAAATTATTACTATTGAAGTAATATTTTTATATTTTTTTTATAATATGAGGTTACACATGTAATCAAATTTAACTGAAGTTTATTTTAGATAAGATAGTTGGTAATTTAAGCAAAACTACAACTTATGTCAAAATGAACAGTTTACAATATTGTTTTTAGCATAGCTAAGTAACGAAGATGTTAAAGACAGTATCGTTACGAAGGATGCAATGCCTTATCGAAGTGTAGTTCACTTAAAGTTTTGTCAAGTAGACTCGAGTTTTCACACTAAAATGTATATGACAATCGTATGTATATTTGTGGATTTTAGCACCGTGGTCACTTATAACGCCTAAGCGGAGAAGTGACTAACAAATATCTCAATTTTCATATAATTTCTCATGTTATTTATATCAAAATAAAAAGGTCATCTTAATCAAAATTGTCACAAATTCATAGAGTAGATATCATACCAACTACTAAAAAAAAAAAATGAAAAAAAAAAAAAAAAAATTAAAACAACAAGGCAAAAATGTAATTTCATGAAATTTTGTCAACATTTTAATTAAAAAAATATTGAGAAACTTCAGAAATATCATCAGAGGACATTCCAAATACCCAAATGATACCAATTTAACACATAACAACCTTAACCAAAACAAAAACAAAAATAGAAAATTTAACCATTAAACCCGAATTTTCATTTTGGATTTATTAGTCAGGAGCTGAAAGTGGCGGTCGTTGTTAACCATTTATGCCCAAGCGACGATTCGTGCACGGTTCTAATTCAGACGTTCAACAATGTGTATCCCCGATGATGTAGCTGGCGAAAAACTACCTCGGTTGATCCACCTTTCACACGATGTATAAATCCAGTACACGTATATCTATACATCAACATGGATAGGCCCAACGAGGGATGGTGGCAACTCACCAATAAAAAGATGATGGCAGCTCGCCCAACAAGTGATGGTGGCAACTCACCTACCTAAGGATGAAGGCAACTCCCTTGGGTGGAGGTAAATTATACCTCGCACGACCTTGTATAGTCGTAAAAGTTTGTGAGGACTATAGTTGACATACTCCATCGGCGTAGCAAAGCTCCCTCATTCTTTTGTGTCCCCGAAACAAATTGCTGCATAACACGGTGGGAAGGGTCCTCCATTGCACTTAGCATATGAGTGTCGATGCAGTCGAAAATGACGTTGTTGAACATATTAGTCCATGAGCACTGAAGGCAAGGTAACTCGA